AGTAGAGTAGAGTAGAGTAGAGTAGAGTAGAGTAGAGTAGAGTAGAGTAGAGTAGAGTAGAGTAGAGTAGAGTAGAGTAGAGTAGAGTATCTATACTAATTGCAAAAGAAGGCAGAAGACTATTCTTTTCATCCTTCCTATTTTAAATTTTTTGGAACCATAAAAAACTCTGAAAGGGAATTGGGTTCAGAACTTCAAATTCATTTATTTTATTTTATTTATTTAAATGTATTGATCACTCCACTCCAAAGGACTCTACAGTTAATATACGGTTAATTTGTTCGTCCCCATTCAGAAAACGGATTTTCAGATGTTTGTCTGATATTTGGGGACATTTCCAAAAAAATAAATAAAACAAGTGTATATTGTCAGTTGTGCTAACTGTAATTCCTTTGTTCTGCAGAACAAGCCTCGTTGTAGCTCAAATTGAAATTTCTGTTTGCAGCGAGCAACGCAACCCCTCTTAAGATTGAGCAAACAAGTTATGGCAACAGACAATTAAGGGGACACAGTGCTTTTAATATTGGTAAGTAACATGGCTGATCTAGTTACAGGAGTGAGGTTATGCAATGCTGGCACAAGAAAAATAAAACTAGCTGATCTAGAGGGATGGACTTGGCACAAGTCCCATGGGCAAAAAGCCAAGGTTAAGAAATTTTATCCCAGAATGCCCTGGGGTGAAAAACCCTTTTTTTCCCCCATTTGACAAATCATATTCTCCTTGGCTAGGGCACAAAGCTGCAAAAACAATACCACTTGTGTTAGTTTTCAGAGAAAGAAAAAGATATCTAACCTGAGGAATCAGGCATTTTTTCCTTTTCTATAGATGTTGTTCCCTTTGCAGTAAGATACGACTTTTCCTATGGGAAAAACAAGCAGACAGGTCAAGGTTTCATAACATATTTCCTTTGTAAAATGTTGCATTTCCTTGTTCTAAGCCCAGATTTTCCAGGACTGCCAATCAAAATCGAACTTTGACAGCATCCGCAATTATTTCCCCTTTCTCTCACCATTTATGAAATTCTTTTTCACCTGAATTTTGTAATTGTGCAATATACTTCTCTGAACTGTCTGGGGTTCCCTTACAGAAGGAATTCAGAGTCCACTCCCTGCTGTTAAATAATGTTTATTTCTTGGAAAGGTCTCTGCTGACTTGCATAAGCTGTTATGTATGAAAATGTACTTAAGATTTTACTCTTATTCAATGTTTGGCCACCACGAAGGTAAAATTTTAAATCTGAAATACTTAGTGAAATGTCACATCTTCCTTCCTCCCATCATTGCTAGCTAGATAAATGATAGAACATATTTACATTCTCTANACTGTGGGGGCGATATGCTGACTCTGTAAACCACTTAGAGAGGGCTGAAAGCCTTATGAAGCGGTATATAAGTCTAACTGCTATTGCTATTGCTATATGTCATGTGACAAAAACATGATGCCATGAGTTTGACACTCCTCATCCAAAGTGATAGTGTGTGTGTGTGTGTATTACAAATCTAGCTTCTACAGTTCAATAAACATTGCATGATGCTATAAGAATAAATCTAAAGGGAGATAGTGTGGTATTAAAAACATACTTGATATCTGCCTCTGCTACTGATTTTTTTCTTTGAGATGTTTTTGCTGATGCTCCTGCTTTTTCATCTTTCCTTTTGTCATCTTCTCCTACATTCCTTGGACTTCCTTGAGATCCGTCATGCTTCTTCACAAGTTCTGGATCATCCCCTCCTGCATCTGGGTTATTTTGACTTTTGTTGGCTTCCTTTGCATTCACTTCCACCGGACTCTTTCCTGGCGTCTTCTGCAGAGAGCCTTTCCAACTGTTGCTATGATGCCACCCTGCAGACGCTTTAGACTCCGAAGAGTCACGAGATTTGGGGGGGTTTCTTTGAACCAGAAACGGGTTTGCCTTCTCTGTATTCTCCTTGTTGAGTTTATGGATCTTTTCTGTATGAGAATGTGATTCTGACTTCTCACCAGACCCATCTAGAACTAAGGGAGGAAAAAAATACCAATGATTTCAGTGAAAAGAACACTTATGCAACATCATTCAGTTATTCACACTGCAGAAACTTCTTTTTTCCTTTTGAAAGTCAGGGACTTTCCAGTTTATGATGTGACGTAGTCAACCACTAAGAGTCTAAATATTGTATATTATAAAGATTGTACTCTTCTCACTCAAGGGTGTTTCTAGTTGAAGGATTCTGACCACTGTTCTCCATTGCTCTTCTTTTAAAACATTTCCATTCATTTTCCACGTATGAGAGCACAACTTTCAAATAGCATAGGAATCCAACCCAAANAGCACATCAATTTTAACAGCATCTGTACAAGTATAGTCTGAAATATGACGCTACAAACAGTGTATATTATCTGTATTGTTTGTTGCAAGGAGGCAAATTGCTGAGAGGCACAGGCGGATGTTTTTCCTTTGTTTTCCTCCCCAAAATCTAGGGGTGTCTTATACTTCAGAGCGTCCTATAGTCCGAAAAATATGATGTGTGTGTGTGTGTGTGTGTGTGAGATCACTTGTTCTGCCGCGTGGCGCTCTGCCCGGCTGGAAAGAGAGATTGTGCGAGCACTTGTTCTGCCTCCAGCTCACGTGCCTCCCTGCCTCAACATGCCCAGCCTCTCCCTGCAGGGATGGGCCAGGGTGCCACCGCCGCCACCCCACTGCCGTTGCCCCACTGCCGCCCCACTGCCGCCCCACTGCCGCCACTGCTGCCATGCTCCAAGCATAACTGGCTTCCAAACTCCAGAGATCAGTTGCCAAGTCTTCCGGCAGGGGCCGCTCTGGGACTACACTGTAAGGTTGTGGGCTGGCTGTGGGAAGACCAGAGTCTTCCAACAGCCAACCCACAACCATAGAGCATAATCCCAGAGCGGCTGCTGCCGGAAGACTCAACACCGGATCTCTGGAGTTTGGAAGCCAGTTATGCTTGGAGCATGGCGGCAGTGGGGCGGTAGTGGGGCGGTGGCAGTGGGGGTGGCAGCGGTGCCGTGGCGGCACCCTGGCCCAGCCCTGCAGGGAGAGTTGGACATGGTGAGGCAAGGAGGAACGCGAGGTGGAGGCAGAACAAGTGCTTGCACAACCTCTCTTTCCAGCCGGGCAGAGCGCCACGTGACTTAGCGCCTTTGGGATATTACTGGGTCGGTGAGTGGCGCTCTGCCCAGCTGGAAAGGGGTGTTGCTGGGTGGCTGCTCATAAGAGCAGCTGCCTGGCAACCCCACGCTCCAGCTGGGCACAGCGCCACCCAACAGCTTAGCGTTATCCCAAAGGTGTCAAGCAATGTGAGCATCTTTGCCCCCTCCCCCCAGCTCCTGTGGCTTTGCGCCTTCGGGATATCGCTAGGTTGGTGAGTGGCGCTCTGCCTGGCTGGAGGGGGGGTTGTCAAGGGGGCTTATTATTGGGGGAGGGCATATATTTTTGCCTACAGGAAAAATATGGCATGGTCTTATTATCAGGANTGGTAGTCTATAAATTATAAAGCCAGAACACACTTTAAAAAATAATAATAAACTGGCATAATGCTGACTGTGCTTAGCAGTGAATTTATTTATGTTTGGATCTACATTTTCTGTAGTCTTCAGTGCTTCAGTGACATCTAGAGGGTGCTTGTATGAATGTATTCCTCCACCCCAAAATTACACTATTAACTAACGGGGGAAGGAATAGATCATGCCTGGATTAATCCCAGACAGTTCTTTCATATAAGCATTCCATTTTCAAAAATAGCCAGCCAGAGACTTCTGAGCTAATCGTCTCCTAATCATTTCACCTTCCGTTATTTTGTTATTTCAGGTAAACTGGCCACAATGATGGCTGATAAATATTAAACCACTATGCAGTTTAAACTGAAATTGCTGACTGGAACTAAAACAATAAATACTCCAAGATATAAACGGTATATCTTCAACATTTTGTATGAGAATGCGCAAGAGATTAAAAAATAAACAAAAAGGGAAACCGCTTGTAACGGAATCCCTCTCTTTGAACCTTACCACATTTTATTTATTTAAGAATCCCTGACGATTGAACGGTAGATAATTTACAGGTTTAATATGAGCAAATGTGTGAAAGAAATAAGTAAACTTTTAAAACAAATTAATCTGAAAACAAATTAGACAAATAATCAATTTTAAAAACCACTGGGCACAGATACTAAAATAGTAATAAAATAAATTATAAGCCCACATTTCAGCAGAAAATTAACATTAAAAATTATCCTCAATAACCATACATAAATCCAAGTTACAAATGGTTCAAGCTGTAGCATCCATACAAATGCTGAATAAGGGAAGAGCCACTTCCAGGTTAGACAAGCTAAAACTTTACATAATTATCATGGCAACTTCCCCAGTGAAAGAATGGTTAAAACAGCACAACACATGGAAAATATTACTTGCAAAGAAACTAACTGTGATTTCCCACTATAAAAGGGACCACAAATGTGAAAGTGTGCATAATTATGTTAAAGAGCTACTTAATTTTTTTTAAAGTGGTTTCTATAACTGAGTTTAGGCATTCAAGTAGTGCCTGAATTCATCCAAGAGGCATTATGACTGTTTCCCATATATACTATTCCATATATAATGAGGACCCAGATCGTTGGGGGCAATATGCTGACTCTATAAACCGCTTAGAGAGGGCTGTAAAGTACTGTAAAGCAGTATATAAGTCTAAGTGCTATTGCTATTGCTACACATTAAAATATTTTTTTTCTCTGAAAAGATTTTCAAGAGGCGTATAAATAGTTTGTGTCCCAAGTATTTCCCCCTCCCAGAACATCCCCCCCCCACAGTAATCAAGCAATATAATAAATCATGGAGGCACAAAATACCATTATACAACTCAAGCCTGTCACATATTAGAACATAGAACATAGTCCACTATGGGAAACTGTGAGGTCATAGCAATGGTGGGATTCAGCCAGTTTGCACCTATCCAGGAGAACCGGTTGTTAACTTTCTAAGCAGCTAGGAGAACCGGT